ATGTACTACGTATGTACAGTGTGTTAATTTAGTCCAGTGATTTCAATTATGCGGTTCAATAAATTATGGGTAACAAATATTGAACGGTACATCGAAGCCGTGCCACATTCGACCGCAATTTTTTTCCTTTTTCTTCCTTCGTTTTATTTTAGCTATTTGACAAATATGATGAACTTTCAATGCATCAAATCTCATATTTATGCTTTCAACCAATGATTCACAACTTTTTCTTGACCACTGGTCACTTTGGCTCTTTTATTTCCAGGATAAATCAGAAAGTTTAAAAATAATAAATTCTGTTAATTTAAAATTAAACTTTAACCAAAAAAAAAAAATTTTTTTTCCAATATATTACTTTATCAAATAATGATAAGCAATTGCTGCCGCTTTCCTGATTGATTATATCTTGATTTTTCCGGATTATTTATAATCAGTACACCATCAGTTAAAAATGATCATTTTAAAACAATTTTTTTTCTAAAAAAAAAAAAAAAAGCTCGCGGTCTAGTACGGTAGTCGTGGATTAGATTCAGCGGAATCCATTGAGGTTTGGTCGAATCGAATTAAATTACCCGTTATAAGAAAGATACACGTATCGTTTTACTCATGTTATATACTCAATGGTTATTCCTCCGCGACACACCAAAGCAGACCAGCATATCTCCTACCTTGACAATATTAGTAGATGTATAATCCATCTCTTCTTTCATCCAATACTAGATGGATTATTATTTAATAATTACAGATCTTTCTCGATTCTTCTATTTATATGCCTAAAGCGATCATGTTTCCTTTTTTTTTCTTTTTTTTTTTTAACCTATGAACTTTGAATAAATATTGATAAATAGGGGAAAGGTTGTAATTTATTATATTGAAAAAGGATTCTCATTGAAAGAGACTTAAACAAATACAATTGGACCAATTCCGTGACGACTTTCGAAATTTTCCCTCTAATTAATTTCTTACCTAAAAATCACCAATTTTATTGGTTATACAATAACCGTCACTACCATCATTACCATCATTATCATCATTATTATTATTATTATCAGTACCATCCATATCATTATTATCCCCATCATCATCATCATTCACCATTATCATCAACATAATCATCATAATCACCATTGATATCTGTGATACAGCTGTAACATTTCATTTCGCTCAAATCATCCGAGGTATCTGAGAGATTATCGATTTTTGGGAAAAAAATTTTTGGTAATTTCCATTATCAAATGGGAAATACTGCTTCCACTTTATGAATACCTTTTCCATTTTATTCTGTTCAAAATACCATTTCGATTCCTACTAAATTTAATGCGTATTCTTCTGTTTATTTTGCAGTTTTAATTTTAATACTTGTATATATATACATATGTGTCCGAAACTGCAAAATATTCATTTCAATTAGTTGACTTATTCATGAGAAAATTTACATTATTAAAATTTACAGTATCAAATTTACAGTACCAAAAAATTACAGTGCTATTTTATGAAAGAAAAAATTTCATCATATACAATACACGCATGTAAATATATTCTATCACTGTTATAGAAAAAAGTAAAAATTAAAAAAAAAAAAAAACCTACTATAAAATTTACTGATAATAACTATAATACAAAAAATAACTATTATTTAATAAATATTCCAGTAATAACTGTAATTTAAACAAATATTTCAGAAATTTTGTTTTTCTGCCGTTAATTTTTCATTCGCTAATCTAATTGCCCATTTATTAAGCTGATACTAAACTTTTTTTCTTCCTTTTCATAAAAGTTCAATGAAATAAAAAAAAAAAAGCAATCAAAAAAAGGAAAAAAAAAAACAGAGAGACATTTCATGCATATCATAGAAAGAAAAAGAACATATCGCTCTCTTGTTCATTTCCAAAATATAAACTGATTTGATAACGATATAATTAGCATATATCATCTAGATATTATCACTACGTCGTCTACACGTGCCGCTAAATCGTTTACCATTTCTTTGGTTATTTCACGTGCTAACCTACAAAAAAAGTGAATAAATTATTACCTAAAATACAAAAATTAAATTCAAAAATTAAAAATTTTAAAATCGGAAGCCAAATAATTGGCTCGAGAACCATTCTCCTTGTTTTTCGTTTTTATTTATTTTGCCTCTTAATTTTCTAATCTCTCTCCAACTCACTGTCTTATTTAATTCTTATCATTCTATTTTTCTCCATTTGTTGATTGATCTTAGAATAATGATCCCGTTCCCAGATTTCTATCTTGAAATATCACTTGTAGTATAAAATGTAAGAAAATAATTCAAAAAAAAAAAAAAAAAAATAACGCACCGATGAACCGTTTCTTCTTGAATATTTTTTTAGGTGTATATTTCGCCAATCTCTGCTTTGAAGGTGAAAATGATGTTGTACCTCGACGTGATTGCATCAATCGACGTTTTTCCTAAAAAAAAAAAAAAAAAAAAATAAAGTATGTTGAAAACTAGCTGATAAATTATCAATGGCTATCATACAACTAATAAATTATCATATCATCATTTGATCCAAGTATACCATAATATGAACCTTCTGTTAGTATAATTATATTATGATATCTCTTAGGCAATAAATATAAGTAAAACTTCCTTTCCTTAATGTTAAAATTTTGGAAAAAATTTGAATATAACTTTTTTTTTTTTTTTCATACTACATAAATTTCATTTTAATGGATCACTTACATGTACATCATATGGTAATAAATATCCTGGACTACGTAATGTTTGAATAACTTCACGAAAGGTTGTTGCAGATTTTGGTTTATATGAAGTATATCGTAACGGATTATTTTCTCCTTTCATTACTTTTTTTGTTCCACATTCCTGTTTGATCCTTTCTGTAATCATCTACAACAACAACAACAACAAAAAATAATAATCCATGGATAATTCTGTTTTTATGTTCAAAATTTTTATTAACTAAAATTGGCATACATCATTACTATTCATGTATACTGTCAGAAGTTCATAAGTACAATAAAATATCCATATTTTGCTACAGTATTCTATTTTAATTTCTTTCTCTGCAAATATTTCCCATCTGATTCTAAACTAAGCTATCGAGAATTTACTAAAGCAATATAACCAATGATATATTATGTAAATTAAGTATATGATTTGAAATTAATATCAGTTCAAGTGATATCAATGAATGATACTAATCATATATATTGCCTTTGCTAGTTAATAGGAAAAAAAAAAAACGAATTGCAATATTAAGTATTATCAAATTTATCAAAGCAAAAAAAAAAACAAAAACCTCATTTAAACGTCGTACGACAACATCATGAAAAACATTGATGGCTTTTTGAAGTTGTTCAAATTTTGATGTGAAATTCTTTTCATGTATGGAACAAAATTCTTCGAAACGATATAACAAATCACATAGGCAGGTAGCAAAGAAAGCACAATTAGCAATTTGAAATGGGCTAAAAATGAAAAACTTTGATTAATTAATTTGTTTTAATCAAGATTACACAAATTGATAAGCAAATTTTTAAAATTACTCTTAAAAATAAAAAAAAATTGATTGATTATCATTTTCACATTCATTATTATCACCAATCGCATTTTCCGTTTATACAAATTACAAAATTTTTTTTTTTTTTTTG